TATTAGCTTCATTAAATCCAAGGATACCTGGATTAAGTGGATAAGGGATGGGCTTTTATAGTTTTGATTTTGCAACTACAGGCAGATACTGTAACAGTAGCTCAATACTGGAAAGTTTCAAATAAATCTACCCTGTTTTTAGAAAGTATCTGTAAATATACATTTACCTCTTTTTAAGTTAGTAATTTGTTAAATCAGGTTTGGTCTGGCCAGCAACACAAAGCGAGAACTGAAGTCTAAATGAGAAATTAAAATAAAACTACTCAACAGAAATATTCATTTTTTTAGATGGGGTAAAAAGTATATTAAGACAGGTATCTTCTTTCCTCCCCAATCTTCTGCTGTAAAGTAACTAACTGACATTGGTATGTTCCCTTTTAAGAGATGTGTGATATATCTACCCACTGGGAGGAAGATGGTCAGTTCTTATTTGTAGGAACCAACATCATCCAGAGAGCTGGAGTCAAAAATCTTCACTATTGTGTGTGGGTTCTTTGAGACACAGTCTCACTATTTAGTGTAGGCTAGCCTGGAATTTACCACGTAGCCTAGGCTGGCCTCGAACTAACAATCCTCATGCCCGAGCCTCTAGAGTGCTGAGAATACAGGTGTGTACCACCACATCCAGTAGTTACACACACTTCCTGTCAACATGAGCACCTAAAAACTCAAAATATAAGTTACACTAAAAGAAAATTTTACCAACAAAAATGCACATGCCAGAAAACTTACCTATTTAAAATGTACCTAACCAGTGTTTTGTACCAACACACTGATTTGGTACAAATTACTCACTACTAATTACAGAAATTTTCATGACCCCAAAAGAAACTCTGTATTCAGCTGCATGCTGGTTTTCCTTTATCATGCATATACAGAAAAAAAGAGGTTATATAAGCATTCCATATTGTTTATAATGTTAATTTCCAAAAAATAAAAATTCTAACATTCCAAGATTTAAGAACGGCAGCAGTGATAATCATGTTTAGAAGCTGGGCGTGGTGGTGCACACCTTTAATACCAACACTTGGGAGGCAGAGGTAGGCAGGATCTCTGTGAGTTCAAAGCCAGCCTGGTCTACATAGTGAATTCCAGGAAGCTGGGGCTACAGAGAGACCCTGTCTCAAAAAGAAACAAAAAGACCAGAGGGGGAAGAAAAAAAAAATCATGTTTAGAAAGTAGATCTGGAAGCCTGTCATGGTGGTACATCCCAGCATCAGACCAAGGTAGAAGGACCATTAGCTCAAGGCCACCCTAGGCTAGAATAAGACCTTGTTACCAAAAAAATTTTTTTCTAAAGATCCCAGCAGTTAAGAGCACTGGCTGCTCTTGCAGAGGATCCAAGTTCAGTTCCCAGCACCCACATGCTAGTTAACAACCATCCATAACTTCAGTTCCAGGGGATCCAACGCCCTCTTCTGACCTTCATGAACATTGCATTTGACATGGTTACACTTACATACATGCAGGCAACATACTCATACATATAACATTTAAAAATTTGAATTTTTTAAAGACTATATGATGCAGGGGGATATGACCAATGACTAACTTTATTATGAGAACATTCTATTTCAACCTTGTTTTTGACACAGGCTCTCACTTATATAGCCCACGCTAGCCTTAACTCAAACTTCTGCCTTAAGTCTCCCACATGTTGGGATAATGGGAGTATTAGGATTACACATAACTATCACCATGCCTAGCTCATCCTCACTTTGTCTATGTGTAGTGTATGAGCGTGTAATGTATGAAGGTCAAAAGTTGATGTCAGTGTCTTCTGTAACCAATCTTTTTTTTTTTTCAGTCTTTTTGAGACAGGGTCTCCCTGTAGCCCCAGCTGTCCTGGAACTCACTATGTAGACCAGGCTGGCCTTGAACTCACAGGGATCTGCCTGCCTCTGCCTTATTTGTAGAAACATTGTAGGAACATTTAATCCCTGAGTGCTGGGATTAAAGGCATACACCACCACGCCCGGCCGATCTTATCATTTGAGACAGGTCTCTTACTGAACCCAGAGCTCACCAACTGGTCACCAAAATCCAGGAATTCAAAAAGAGAAAAACAAAACAAACAAAAAAAAACATCCAGGGATTCATCTGTTTTCACTTCCCTAGCACTAGGGTTCCAGCTGTGCATGACAACTCAGCAGCTCATGCTTGTAAGACAGAAACTTTATCGACTAAAATTCTCCATCTCCCCTACCCCCATACTCTCAAAATTTTTCTTGATTGATTTATTTTTATGTGTATGAGCATTATGGTTGCATGTAAGTGCACCTATGTCACACAGTGCACAAAAAGAACAGAAGAGGGCATCGGATCCCCTGGAACTGGAGGTTATGGATGGTTGTTAGCTGCTATGTGGGTGCTGAGAACCAAATCCAAGTCTTCTGGAAGACCAAACTGAACCCAGATCTTCTGCAGTGCTCTTAATTGCTGAGCCATCTCTCCAGCACCCCCAATACTCTTTTAAAGACACACATTAGAATGTGATCCAAGCCTCAAACCTTTACATTATATATTTTTAAAAAGCAAACAAGGGACTGGAGGAATGGTTCAGCAGTTAAGAGCACTAACTGCTCTTGCAGAGGACCCAGGTTCGATTCCCAGTGCCCACGTGGTGGCTACAAACTGTCCTTAACTCCAGTTCCAGGGGAATCCGAAGGCCTCTCCTGACCTCCGTGGCACTGAATGACACGGGTGCACCCACATGCATGCAGGCAATACACTCATATACATAAAATAATAAATAAAAAAAGCAAACAAACTATGCTTATATAAACTGAAAAATAACCACAATGAAAATCCCACATTTCTGTATTCTGCCTGATTAAATTTCAGATGCAAAATAAGTACTGAAACAACTTTTCTCATTAGTTACTAATAATGAAAAGGTACTAACAGGACTGGAAAGATGGCTCCATGGGTAAAGCACCTGGTGCCAGACCTGACAATTCAAGTTCAATCCCCAGGACCCACATAGAGGAAGGAAAAAACCCAATTCCCACAGGTTGTCCTCTGACCTCCACACATGTGCTATGGCAGGTGCCCTCCCACACATATACACACACAAAATAAAATGTAAAGACGAAATGCATGTTAGAAAAAAATACTAACATACTTCCACATTCTCAAAGGACTAATGCCCACTGAACAAACACTATTTCAAAGGATAGCAAAATTAAGACTAGCCTTATAGGAGATGTTTTACCCCCTCATTGCATCAATTCCGAATAACTATATCGCCTGAGAAATGTCAGCAAGAAAGACTTACTTAAAAAGTATTAGCAGGCTTGTGTCTTTGTACTTCTGGCCAGGTGTCTCTACAAACTTCTTTGCAGACTGAATACTATCAAACACAGCAAAAATTGATCCCTATGGAAGGACAGAAAAATATTTTCTTTAAATTCCTATTTTACAGCTGGGCATGGTGGTGCATGCCTTTAATCCCAGCACTTGGGAGGCAGGTGGATCTCTGAGTTTGAAGCCAGCCTGGTCTACATGGCAGGTTCCAGGCCAGCTGGAACTACAGGAAGACCCTGTCTCAAAAAGACCAAAAAAATAAAAAATAAAAAAAGATAAGAAAGTCATATTTTACAACTAGAAAATCTACATCAAATAATCATACCTTAAATGTTTTGTGCAATGTTCTTCTCATCTGAATGTTCAATATTTGGCCCTTATCATCTAGCCATTCTTTTATGTCATCAAGGGTTGCATCAGTAGGGAAGCCTTTCTGTAAAAATGGGAAAGATACAAGTACAAACAGTCACTCTCAGTAAACTCTCCCAAAATTGATTCATTGTCTTGAGTGAAGACTCTTTCTCTTCCACTCTCTTAATTGTTTAACAATCTTATTCTCCAATGTAATAAGATGACTCACCTGAGAATTGCTCCAAAATAACTCAGAGCAGAGATAAAATATTATTTACATGTTAAAAAAAACTGTTAAAGTCTAGTGACTGTACTTTATACTATTCGCTGTTTCCCTGGATTTGAAACTTTCCATAATAAAAATTATTTAAAATTAATATGCTAATGAAAATTGCTATAGATTTTAGCTATTGATAAGAACAGGGTTCAAAATATGTAACTTAGGTAGAAAATATCCACATTTATAATAATAAAAGCTTAGAAAGGTTAAGAATACCAGCAAACAATATATAGTAACTGGTAAAACTATGGTTCCTGAGTTTTTATTCTTATCCACTCTTTTCCTTCTAAATACATCTATGACATGCATTATATACCTACTTACAATATAAACAGATCTGTTCTTTACATCATTTTTATACTCATCAGTCACTTCAGGGAGAGGTTTGCTTGGAGATCTTCTGATTTTAGTTTTGTCTGCACTGATTTCCATGAGTTTTGCCTTAGATTTGCTCAGTGCTTGCACAATTACATTAAAGTCTGTTGTTAGACGGTTTAACCTGAAGAGTACACACATAAAAACATTGCAAAAACAAATGAGTAATTCTCATTATTAACAGAAAACTGAGATGACTTTTTGGTTTTTGGGCTAGGAGTACAGCTCAGTGACAGCAATGTCCAAGTTCCTGGGTTTGATCCCCAGAACCAAAACAAATAATTTCTTTACCTGTTGAATTTTATCATTATTTCCAAAGGTACCCAGCCTTCATCCAATTTGATTTGTTCTTTTAAAAATTTGTCCCGTGGCAAATTGAAGTCTCCAAAATAATACTGTGGGATAATTACAATATGTTTCATATGTTAGAGCATTGTATAATACTGAGTTCAATCATGGATTCTTTCTTTTTTTTTTTTTTTTTTTTTTTTTTGTCTTTTTGAGACAGGGTCTCCCTGTAGCCCCAGCTGTCCCAGAACTCACTATGTAGACCAGGCTGGCCTTGAACTCACAGAGATCCACCTGCCTCTACCTCCCAAGTGCTGGGACTACAGGTGTGCACCACCATGCCCGGCAAATCATGGAATTTTTAAAAAATACTTTTATATAACGAGTTCTATTTTTTTTAATATGTCAGAACTACACTCTGATGAAACTTGTATAGCACAAGTCAACAAAAAGATAAAAATAAATGTTGCTAATGAAACAGGGTAAGAAACAAATGTGTTACTACTAGAATAGAAAATCTTTAAAGAACATAAAGACATAATACATAAAAACTTTCCTAATTGGTGTGGAAAGAATTTAAGACTTAGGTTCAATCCCCAACACCAACAGGAAAAGGAAAAACAAAAACAAAAAACCCCCAGATCCAAGTATGACTACTTGGAATGTCACCAGCAGCATTAAAGAAAAAGGCAAACACATCTATTAAGAGTCATACATTAAGGAGAAGCCAGGTGTGGTGGCTCATGCCTTTCATCCTAGCACTTAGGAATCTGAGGCAGGAGCGTTGCCTGGAAGTTCCTGAATACACAAAGATTCCCTACTTCTGCTTCTCAAGTAGAGATTGAAGGTATGCATTACCACTCCTGGGTCATTTTTGAAAACTACATATGTACATGTACAATAAACGCTCAAAAAAATACCATTATTAATCACAAAATAGAAAGCACCAGATAGGCAATTTGGGACCAGCCTGCTCTACATCGTGTATTCTAGGGCTAGCCAGGGCTACATAGTGAGACTGTTTCAAAAAATTAAAAAAATTAAATGTGTACAGCTAAAGCTAATCTAGCTCCTCCTAGAAATTTGATCCTAAAGAAATCAGTAGACCCTTTTCCTAAGATTTATATAAAAAAATGTTATAGAGCTATTACAGTCAAAGAGAACATAAAGGATCTATAGAATGGATGTTATTAAACACACAAAACTTTACTCTCATAACAAAGGGGTACAAGTTTTAAGAAATAGTTCAAAGAGCTGAAAAAAAAAAAAAAGCACTACACACAATTGCTTCATAGCATGAGGCTTTATTTAGGGCCAATTTCTCATATAGACATTGTTACCGATAACACTTCTTTAAAATATTTTATTTTTATTTTGTGTATATGAATGTCTTGCCTGAATGTATGTTTCTAAGTGTACTACATGCATGCAGTACCTGTAGAGGCCATGTACCAGATCCACTGGATTTACAGATGGTTGCTAGCCACCATGTGGATGCTGAGAACTGAACCTGGGTCTTCCGCTGAGCCATCTCTCCAGCCCCCTACATAACACTTTTATACCTAAATTTGAAATGCTAGGTGGATTTTGAAAATACATGTTCTGTTAAAGTTATGCTGACTGAAAAGAACTGAGAAGAATAAACTGCTAGGCTTTTCAAGCATACGAGACATTGTTTGACAGGAATCTTATATTACATTATTAAGTACCAGGCAAAGTGTTTTAATTTTGCAATTTATTAATTTCTCACATCATCTTACAAGGATCACACTATTATCTCCATTTTACAGACTAGGAAAGTAGCACGGAGATATGGTTATGAGTGTCTCAAAAAAAGGTAACACTAGTCTGTAGTATTACCTTTGAAATGTTTCTAATTCCTGAGTCTCCTAACCTGACTCCAATAGTATGTTCATCTAATTCCAAGAATCAAATATAAGCCAAATGTTTGAATAGTTCCACATTCTGAAATGAGCTGCTTTTTCTGTTTTCATGCTTAGACCCTACATTTCCTATCAAGGAACTTGATTTTGAAATTTAATAGCACAAGAATCATACCTCAATTTGATGACAGATTTTGGCCTCCAGAGCAGCCAGTTTTTCATTATCTCCATTTTCAGCCATTGTGGCTATCTATCTGTAAAATTTCCCACACTGGTAGAAAGAGGTTATTTAATTTTTTACACATAAAACTCAAGACCAAAAAGAGAATTATTAAAAATTATTAATACTCCATCCTTTTCTTAAATATCAAGGAGCTATATATAATTTTATAGGTTGTTTCCCTGTAAATTATATCTCAACAAAGCAACACCTTGGACTAAGGGAAAGAAAAAGTGAAGAACTCTCAACAATCTGCTGCTACTCTGAGTAAATCACTAGCCTCCTTTTTTATTATAATGCAACCTTTAGAAAGAAAAAAAATAAAAACCTATCTAATCACTTTTCATCCATTTCCAGCATTAAATAGCAGCACTACAGCATGCCAGTATATCTGTATGGCTCTCAATGTTATTTTTTTGGTGTAGGTGCCATTTCTTTCCAAATTAGTCACAGCTGACTTACCCTGAACTTATTGACAAAGGCGAAAAAATTTAAATATGGAAGTCATGGTGATTAAATACTGCACATCAAGGAAGATATGAAAAAATGATAACTTGAGAGCCTGGATACACTAAAAAAGTTTAAACTGGGGGTTGGAGGGGAGGGTGTGCCTGCTCACTCATATATTAATATGTTGGTTAACTTTATAGTCAGTTTCCTGTTTCCTGGGCTGAAAACACTGCAGGGGGGAAAAAAGAGACTGTGATACTAAGTTTGCTAGAAATCACAAACCTGCTCTTCTGACTTCAAATTACTTGCTCCCAGGGCTCTACTAAACCACCCAGCCATTTTGTTCAAAAGCGGAGAAGTGTAAGAACTCATCATGAATATCTGTATTAGTTGAATCTAGTGATGAGCTACTGATGGTAAGCTCCTAGGAAGCAATGCTAAAGACACTAAATTCGCTGGTCTATATAACCTGGATGCCCGCGGAAGGCTCTACTCCGTACACATCCCATTTCAGAATTCACTCAGTTCAAGCACCAGTTTGTCTACCACCTTCTACAATGGCGTTACCAGACACCTAGGGTCCTTTATCAAGCAAACAATGACATAAACGAACTAGTTAGTCCCTGCAAGACTTCTTTGGCCTACCCAATTATGGAACTCGGTTTTACCTGGTACTTCCCCAAAATTTCACACAGAAGCAGCTTTTACAGGGGTGAATGACGATTCTAAAACCCAACCTACTGACTCTGGGAGTTTAAGCGCGGCCCACACTCTTTCCGCCTCCAGTCAGCCGCCACAGAACCCTGTGGCGTTTAACCCGCACCGACCATCCCAGACTTCCTAAAAGAAAGGGCCCGAAACATCGGCCTTCGGCGAGCTTGGACAGGGGTGCTGGTAACCGAAAGGACGCGGTGGGGATGCGGCCAGCATCTGCCCCAAGGCCCCGTGAGAGGCCCGGTCCCCCAACACCAGCCCGCCCGGGCCCTTGCCACGTGGGAAGCCCCGGGCGCCCGCATTCCTGGCAGGGGCCCGCTCGCCCGCCTCGCCGAGGCCCGCGCCCCCTGAGGCCCAACACGCCGCCTCAGGCCGCGGCCCATGCGGCGTCGAAGAGAACGCGAGGAAGGCGAGGCCCCGGCCGGGCATACTCCTTTGTATCTTCGCTTCGGCCTTCGAGAGGCTCACCTCAAAGGTCTGGAACGGCAGACGCCACAAGGCTCACGAACAACGACGGAAGCGCCTCCACTTCCGAGCGCCCGCGGGCCAGCCAAACGCGCTCAAAGATGGGGGCTGTCCCGGCAGCCCTTGCGAGAAGGGTGGGCGTGGCCGCGGGCGCGCAAGGCGAAGCGGCGCTCTGCGCATGCGTTATAGTCTCAGCCTCTCTCTGCTCGCTGGGTCCCGCCTTCCCGCCCTAGAGATTGGGTTAAATCGTGCCGCAGAACGTTCGGGGGGGGGCGGGGCGGAGGAGTACCTGCGCGTCTGTTTGTGTGCACGTCTATTTTGGGGTGATTCTACTCAGTATTTGTGTTCCCAGCCGTTTTTTGCCATCTTATGAAGTGCTTGACTTTTCGTTTACAATAATTTTAACGTATCGCGTTAGGCTTCTAAAAAAACCACCGGTTGGTTGGGCTGTGACGGAATCTCGCTCTAAAACTGGCCTAGCCTGCAACTCCAAATCCTCCCGTTTTTCTGCTAACTGCTGGGATTTTACAGGCATCTGTTGGCTTTTGTTACCGTTGTTTTGGTTCTTGAGACGGAGTATCGGTGTGTAAACCAGGCTGATCTCAAACTCTAGATACTGATACTACTGCCTCAGTGTCCCCAATCCTGGGATTACAAACAAGGGGAGTTTTGAAAATAGTTTCATGAGATCCAACAGTTAAAACAATATAGCTGGCATTGAGGCAGAGGCAGGAAGATCTCTGTGAGTTTGAGGCCAGCCTGTCTCAAAAAAGAGAGAGAGGAGATCTCTGTGAGTTTGAGGCCAGCCTGTCTCAAAAAAGAGAGAGAGGAGATCTTTGTGAGTTTGAGGCCAGCCTGTCTCAAAAAAGATAGAGAGGAGATCTTTGTGAGTTTGAGGCCAGCCTGGTCTGAGTTTGAGAGCAGCCTGCTGGCTCAAAAAAAAGGGGGGGGGGGGACAGTAAGTAGACTGTTTCAAGAGAGATTTAACACTGGAAGCACCTGTCTACATTCCCCTTTTCTGCAAACTGTGTGACCTTGACAAATTATTCAGTTTTTCTGTCCTGCATGATAAAATAGGGCCATCTAGTACAGAGACCTTTTGTTTTCTTTGCTAGAGCCCTTTCCTATTCATATACTTTTGCACAACAATTTACTCATTTTAAAACGGTTATTTTCTTGTGAGATAATCTTTCCATCTCAGCAGTTCCTAAACTGATAAAGTATCTAAAATTTGGAAACAAATAGAACTATAGATTGAATATAAACATTGATTCTGGTCAAAGAGAAAGGGTATTAATAGCATTATGGTCAGGAAGTTTTAAATTCAGGTTAATCGATTATCTTTTATTCTCTCAATAAGTACTTTTCAAGTCCTTACTTCGTGAGACAGACTTAAATCCCCAGTTCTCCAAAAGTCAGAATATAAGTATTTAACAGAATCATGCCGGTGTCAGGATTCTCCCACACATCCATTGAGCAAACTTGATTACTGCATGCCTATTGATGTTCCGATATGGAGCTTGACACTGGAAATAGAGAAAAGACCTACACTGGTAGTCAGTGTCACTTGAAGAAATTCAACACTTCTGAAATGGTTTCATGTATCACAAGGTGGCCTCAAACTTACTTTGTAGCTGAGGATGACTGAGTTCCTGATCTTCCTGCTTCTACTTACCAAATCCTGGGATTATAAACATATGCCTCTAATTTCATCTTATTTGGTGGTAGAGATCAAACCCAGGGCTTCCTCGTGGTAGACTACCAATTGAACTTTATCTCCACCCTAAGCGGCAAGCAATGTAACCCTTTGTGCCCTAGGATGTCTGATAGAACAGCAGGAACAGACTATTAGGAGGAACCAACTTACTGAACATCATTTAGGTTTCTGTCAGATATCTGGATCTTTTGCTCTCTCTGTGTCTTTAACTTCCAGGGGCCAGGCTCTATGTAGATATCACCCTTTCGGAAAAATGGATTCTTGGCAACACACCAGGATGCCTCATATTTCAGTCAAAGCATTGGGAGAAGACTCTCATGTTGCCTCTCCCATAGCATAACTTTGTAGGTCAGTATAAGAAAATACCATCCTTCTCAGTATACATTTAGTATAACCATAGGAGAGAGCAAATTGACATTTCTTGCTGATGTTTAAGATATGCATGGATAATGGCCCAGCAAATTCACTACAAGGAGATCCTGTCTTAAAAAGACCAAAAAGGAAAAAAAAAAAAAAGTTGGGCATTATGATATGCACCTGTAACCTCAGTGAAGCAAGTTGGGAACAGAGATTAGCAGATGCCTGGAGCCCAGTAGTCAGCCAGACCAGCCAAATCAATGACCTCTGGGTTCAGTGAGAGACTCGGCCTCAAACAATAAGGTGAAGAGCCAGTGAAGTGGCTCAGCTGGTACAGACACACGGGTATTTATTACTAAGCCTGAGTTTGATTCCTGGACTCACATGATGGAAGGAGAGCAGAGCATGGACTCCTACAAGTTGTACACGAATGAATGAATGAATGTATGTATGTATGAATGAATGAATGAATGAATGAATGAAAGAAATATTTTTGAGGCAGAGTCTCACCATGTAACTGGCTAGCCTGGAACCCATGTACATTTATAAACTCTCAGAATGATTACTACTCTTCTTTCATACTAAGAATTAATCTAGGGTAATGGTATTTTTCTATTCTGAACATTACTGTGAAATACTTGTTAGGAATATTGGTACAGTTGTCTAAATGATACAAAAGTATTGCATTCTCAATTTTTTTTTTTTTTTGGTCTTTTTGAGACAGGGTCTCCCTGTAGTCCCAGCTGTCCTGGAACTCATTGTGTAGACCACGCTGGCCTTGAACTCACAGAGATCCGCCTGCCTCTGCCTCCCAAGTGATGGAATTAAAAGCGTGCACCACCACGCCTGGCCGCTTATTAACTTCTTAAAACTATCAAAGTGGGTGCTGAAGAGATGGCTCATTGGTTAAGAGCACTGACTGCTCTTGCAGAGGACCTAGGTTTGATTCCCAGCACCCACATAGCAGCTACGAACTGTCCTTAATGCCAGTTTCAGTGGAATCTGAAGCCCGTACAACAGGGGTGCTCTCACTTACATGCAGGCAATACACTCATACACATAAAATAAAAATAATAAAAAATGTATATTTAAATATTTTTTGAGACATGGTCTCCCTACAGCCCCAACTGGCCTGGCACTTGCTATATAGACCAGGCTGGCTTCAATCTCACAGAGATCCCCCTGCCTCTGCCTCCCAAGTGCTGGGACTAAAGGCATGGGCCACCATGCCTTGTGCATTCTCAACTGTTATTGAATTGGCACCATTTCATAGACCATCAGAAACAGTTCAATGTTTAGTTGCTATTCATTTATGCTTCCCCTGGCAATTTTGATGAATAAAAATTAAAAGTTATAAGCCGGGCATGGTGGTGCATACCTTTAATCCCAGCACTTGGGAGGCAGAGGCAGGCGGATATTTGTGACTTTGAGGCCAGCCTGGTCTACATAGTGAGTTCCAGGTTGGCTGGGGCTACAGGGAGCCCCTGTCTCAAAAAGACAAAAAAAAAAAAATTTAAAAGTTATAAAACTGTATTTTATTGTGAGTTTTTTGTTGCTGTTTTGTGTTGTGTTGTTTTTTGACAGGGTCTCCCTAGTCCTAGTCTGCCTGGAATTCATGATGTGGACCAGGGTAGCCTCCATCTCACAGAGATCCACCTGCCTCTGCCTCCCGAGGGCTGGGATTAAAGGCACACACTATTATGTCTAGCATAAAACTCTTTTTAAAACACCAGAATCCCAGCAAAATATGGTCAACCTTAGGTGGTATTTCAAGATGTCCACACTAGTATTATAGTATTACGAAGCAAGAGCGCTATCACTGAGCTACACTCACAGTTTATTAAAGGTGGTTACAGATATGTAGAGTTGTAATGGGAAAAAAAAACCCACATTTGTATATCATACCAAATTGAACAATTTGCTAAAAAACAATAAAAACTAATAATAAAACTTTCTAGAGGAATTCCAACTATTTTAGAGGAAAGACCTGGGTATCATTATATTCTTTGTAAAAAATATTGCACAATTATTGTATGAAGAGTTAATCAAAATCTGTGTATCTTAAAATGCCAAGGAAAAGGGACTGGAGAATGATTCAGCAGGTAAGGTCACTGGCTGCTCTTCCAGAAGATCCAGGTTCAGTTCTCAGCACCCACATGGTGGCTAACGACCATCCACAACTCCAGCTCCAGGGCATCCGACCTTCACGAGCATTACAGGACATGAGTGCTGGAAATACACTCATACACATAAGATAAAACAGAAATAACAGATTTCTTTTTAATGCTAACAAAAGTTATTATAGATGTGTTTCTGTCAGTTAGATAATTTAAAATGGGTTTGATGGATTGGGATGTAGCTTAGGTTCCATCCCAAAAATGAAGGGGAGGAAAATTTTTCCCTGGATTGTTATGGTGGTGGTGTTTTTCTTTGTTGTAATTTCTAATCTGTTTATTTTAAGCAAATGTTCATCTTCCTACTTTTGTATTCATAATTTGGGATTGTGTTTCTTAAAGTGGCTCCCCAAAATTGAAGTTGACATCATGCTCACAAATTCTAATATTACTCTGTTCAGAATATGCACTAAAGAAACAGTCACAAGCTGAAGGTCAACAATAATGAGGCAATGTAATGAGAAACGAAGCACTTTTCCTAGGGTGGAAGGCTAGCATATATGCATTACAAACAGGTTAAGAACTTAGCGAAGGAAAGAGGGGGAAAGCAAACCAGCTGGGATGGATACTGGCCATGTGGAGTACATACTAGTTCACACTTTAGTGGCAAAGAGGTGGGAAATTATTCTAGAAGTTAATTTACTTTATGAAAAGGTGCAGAGGTCTCCCAGGACGGGAGTATATAAAGAGGACAGCAATGTGGAAGGTGAGCTACTCTAACCCACAGGCTGAAACCATGCTTTGAGGACAGCGCCTCCTACTGGGAGCATAGCTTAATTCCTATGCTGCTGAGCATAACTAAACCTACCCATGTCACTGAAACACAAAAATAAAGCAATAAATGAATTTGAAGGCATTATAGGAAATTTTGAAAGAATTCCAGTGGTACCCCTG